GAAGGTCCATGTTTCTCCCTATACCTGGGAAGTTTTCTGTGATTATTTTGTTGAATAGGTTTTTCATGCCTTTTCCTTTCTTCTCCCCTTCTGGAACACCCATGATTTGAATGTTTATATGCTTAAGGTTGTCTGCTAGCTCTCTTAGATTTTCTTTATTTAAAAAAAAATTCTTTTTTTCTTTTTCTTTTTCTGTCTGCCTGGGTTATTTCAAAAGACCATCTTTAAGGTCAGAAATTCTTTCTTCTGCTTGCTCTAAGCTGCTGCTTAAGCTCTCAGTTGTGTTTTTTATTTCATTGAATGAATTCTTCAGTTCCATGAGTTCTGCTACATTCTTTTTGAAAGTATTAATCTCTTTTTAAATTTCATTTTTCATATTTTGGATGCTCTTTCTCATTTTGTTGTGTTGTCTAACTGAGTCTTCTTGTATTTCATTGGGTTTCCTTAAGATTGTTACTTGGAATTTCTTTTCAGTCATTTCATCTGTTTCCTGCTCTATGAGATCTGGTACTTGAGAATTATTGTTTTCATTTGGTGGTGTCATACTTTCTTGTTTTTCATATTTCTAGTATCTCTGTGTTGACATCTGGTCATCTGGTAGAACTATTACTTCTTCTATTACTCTAGAGTGGGCTTTGAGGAGAGAAACTTCCTCCTGTAGACATGCTTTCTATTGACCATTGAGTAGGGTATTTTAGTATTGGTTCCAGGAAGAGGCAGTAGTCTCTTTGTGGGTACTTCAACCATATTCAGTGTTGGAGTTGCATGGCCTAGGCACTGGGGTGCTTAGTGATTCCTTGCTGAAGTTAGTGATAGTGTGTTGGTTGGTTGGGGGTGTGGGTGAGCTCTCGAGTTCCTGGGAGAAGTGCCTGGATGCTCTGTCACTCTTTGGCTGGGATGGTTAACCCTGGGTAGGCTTGTTGGTACCCAGGCTATTTTCCCATGACCGTGATAAGTGCACTGGGGTATATTGGAGCTCCTCAATTTGAATGGGTGACCCTGGCTGGCATTTCTTTTTCCTTTTTCCTACAGGAAGAAACTCCTTCTGGGTCCTTGCTTCCCCCAGTTGGGGGATGGGTTGGTGGTGACTGGAAATTTTCTTCCTTACTCTATTTGGGTATCCTGGTTTCTGCACTCTTGGGGGATTCCGTGTGTGTGTCTCTCCCTGGATCAAGACAGTCATGTAGCAGCACATTTACCTCCCAATCCCTAAATGTGCTACTGCATGTGGCAGCATAATTCCTCCTGTGGGATGTGCCACTGGGTCATGGGTCTGCACTCATTTATCTCTTTCCCACCAGTGACTCTCCTTTGTCAACACAGTTGGTAGTCTGTGGGCTGCCTGCATGGTGGTGGTGGCTGCTGCTGTGGTAGTGAGCCTCCCTTGCAGTAGAAGTGGCTGTGGCAGTGGCTGTGGTGTACCACCCATGTGGCAGTGGTGTCTGCAGCAGTGGTGGGGCTGCCCATAGTTGTTGAGGTCCCTGGGTGCTTGCTGCCTTCTCTCAAAGGGATTTTTTGTTTTTGAATGGCCTTCTGACCACATCTCTTTCCTGTTAACATCTTTTCAAGTTATATTACTTGGTTTTCATTTCCCTTACCCAACTTATTAGTGAGGTGAAGTTTCCTTTTTCTTTTTTTTTTTTGATAAGAACTTGTGTTTCTTACATAGCCAGTTTGGGATCCCATTGACTTCTAGAAGTCCCTGAAAGAGATATTTTAAATGAGGAGCAACATCAGTGCTTTTTGTGCCATCAAAGCTGCCTTTCCTGCTCAATGTCTGGGAGGTGCACTCAGGATAATTAACTCAGGGCCTTGGTCCTGCCCAGCTCTGCAAATCCCAGTTCCAAGGCAGAACCTGCATCTATAGAAGAGCTGCTGCATGTCCACTTCATTAGGGCTGGCCCAGGGCTTCTTGAGGGTAGTTGTGCTGAAGACAGCCCTCCCCACTTGGGGGGAGATGGGGCAAGCTACATGGCCTAGGCACTGGGGTGCTTAGTGATTCCAGCAGTGAGCAGCATGCTGCTCTTTCTCTAGCCACACACGTGAATGCCTTCATGTGCACACCTGTGCGTACAGGCATACATTTGTTAATGTTGAACTTCTTACCACCTATGATCCCAGGTGGAGCAGTTTCCCAGTCAGGGAGGGCCACTGGGGGGGCCCCATAGGACAGCAAATGTGAAACTGTTTTGTCAATGGCAAAGGACTCTACTTCTAAGAATGTCCACTGTTAGTATGACAAATAATTACATTTAAAAAATAAGTAAGCTAGACAGGGCTTCCAGGAAGAGGTGGTAGAACTGGACCTGGGCCTGGAAAGGAGGTCAGAAAGTTGATGGATGGAGAGGAATTGAAGAGAGGGGATGAAGTTGGGCTCTGGAGATCTAGTTGGGATGTTTTAGGTTTGAGAGAGAGAGTCAGGCCTTGAAAAATAAATTCAGGGAACAAGAACATAGAGATAGAATTTAAAACCAAGGAAATGCATGAGATCCTTCAGGGAGAGTGTGGATAAAGAAAATGGTGAGGACTGAGCCCTGGGACAGGTCAGGAAGAGGGGAATCTAGAAGGGGGTAAGGAAGAAGTTGGCATATCCACTCTACATTGCCGCATACTTGGTGCCAGGGGGAGCTTAAAACCAGGAGTCTAGACACCCTCCTGTTGTGTGAATTTGGCCAAATCTGTTAACTTCTCTTGTCTTCTGCTCCTTCCTGACCAGCATGTGTCTTTTGGTGATGGTGATGGTGATGGTGCACTTTGAGAGGAGCCAAATCCATTAAAGACATGGGTGATGCTGGTGCTGCTGATGGCAGGGCAGAACAGGAGCCGATCTTTCCAGACATCCCAGAGACCTCCATGCCCCCAAACCCTTAAGAGTTCCTGCATTTTTAAGAAAATGGGTTCTTATATTTTGCTGAGGCATGTAATCTAGGCTCAGGAGGCCTTTGAAGAACCTGGAGCTAGAACCTGCACTCGAACACTGCTTCTTTCTTCACCTGGACTGCCATTTTATCTCCCTTGGAGGGAAGGATGGACCAGGCCTATTTATTAAAACTTCTCTTCTGTTAGGATCAAGGAGTGGTAAGAGCTATAGCAAGTGTGCGTGCGCATGAGTACCTGCACACTTCTGTGAGCCCAGGGGGAGAGTTATAAAATCCAGCAGACTCTGAAACTGGGCTGAAGTGTTTGCAGCCGAAAGAAAATGGCCATATTTGGGAATATCTATTAATACCTGCAAGTATTTAGGTGGAAACAAAATGATGAGTCATGGTTTCCTTTTGCTGCTGGGGAGGGGCTGGGCATGGATAAGTTCAGAGAGAATAGAGAGTGAGCAGGTGAGATTTTCCAATGGCTGAGGACCTGTGACTTTCCAGTCCTCTCTCTCCTAGAATGTGGCCAGGGCAAAACCACACCTTCTCCTCTGCAGTTTCCATGACTGTGGGAGCTGCCAGAGTGATCTCAGCAGAGGGCTAGGCTTCCAGTGGTTGATTTGAGGGATTTGAGCTAGCAGTCCCCTGTTCCCAAACTCCCCCATCATAATGCCTGGAATCCCACATCTTCATGTCTTGGAGTCTCAGACATTTTTCTGGTGTTCTAGATTCACAGCACCAAAGCCCAAGGGAAAGTGTAATGATGTAGTCGTTGGCTAACGTTTTAGTGTTAGCTAACAGCCAACTGACAGCAAAGTCCCATGGAAATGTAAGATCATATGTTTGGGGAAGGATGGTGAGAGAGAAGGGATGGGGGAGACTGCAGTGTTGCCTCCACCTGGCAGTGGGGAGTAGTGTATTAGCAAAGAGGACTGTGGTTTAGGGAGGCCTGAGCTCCACGTCACGGGGGCTGGAGAGGAAACTGTGCCTTGGATTGCTTTATAGGCTCTGTGGCCTGGGAATTGCATCTCTCTCAGGAGTGTAATGGGCTGGGCTGGAAAGACAAGCACCAAGACACAGATAGATGGGGAGATTCTGTGGTCAAGAGACAAATTTTTTGGTTTCCCTAATACTCTGGAGAAAACTGATGGTGTCTTTTTGGCTGCCATTGGCCCCAGATCACAAACCATCTTGAGTACTGGGGCCTCGACAGCTTGTGCTTGCATGACCATCTGATTTCCTAGGCTGGGTCTCCGTGTTTACTGGGAAAAGTGCTTCTCAGGCAAATGGCCCTATGCCTTTCCCCCTGGTGGGTGACTTGCAGAGAGCTAGGACATGGCTCACTCTGGCATACTGAGGCGTCATGGCTACCAAACCCCAGCCCTGCAGGGCACAGACCCTGCTTCTCCTTGTAGGCAAATCTCATTCATCCTCGAGGGCTCATTTCAAAGCCACCTCCGCCGTGAACACTTATCATTTCTCTAAATTCATGGAGTACTTACTTTGGTCCAACGCCCATTTTTGTCTTGGTCTTCAGTGCCTCAGCCAGCCCATCCCATCTTCTTGACTACACTGAGGTTCTCAACAGCCTGGGCTGTGTCTTACTTATCTTAGTGTGTCTTCTCTGTCTTCTTTCCACCCCAGAACCCTCAGAACAGTGCCATGCTCATGGTAGGCTCTTAGAAAAAGAGGTGGTTGTTTTTGATGATAACAGTGGCTTTTAGGACAGATTTTTACCATGATTACCAACGTCCTACACCATGGGACCCCGTTTTCTCTCCAGCCTCATCTCTGGCACTTTTCCCTTCGCTGGCTGCATTCCAGCCACGTGGGCCTCTGTCAACTCTCAGAGGCTGTTTCATTCCAGGATATGCTGTCTGTCTGCAATGCTCCTCCCTCTTCTGCTGGTTAACTTCTCACCATCCTTCCAATCTCAGCCAAATATCACCTCCTCAGGGAAGCCCTCTTTCTCCAGTCTGGGTTGAAATGCTTTGTTAGAACCTCCTGTACAGTCCTTTTCCTTTGCTGAATACAAAGCTCTGAGCCTCCCTGGGCCTCTGCACAGATAGCGTGACAGTTTTATTGTCTGTCTGCCCCACTCAAAGAGCTAACATCCCCCCATTTGCCCACCAGGTGGCTGGACAAGGACAAGGACGATGGGCAGCTGGTCCGAGAATTGCTGCCCAGTGACAGCAATGCGACGCTGAAGAGTAAGTTGTCCTGACGACCAGGTGGTAGGTGTACTCCTGTCGAGACACAGACCCTGCCTCAGTGAAACAGAAGCAAGCCCTTCAGGAAAACACATGCCCTCCATTTCATTTCATGGAGGCAGCCCAGGGAGGGTGGAGAGGAAGGGCTATAAGGGAGCGTCTGGAAATTTCTTGTGTGTCTGTGCACAGTTTCTTTGTGGCCTCAGGTGTGAGGCCGTGGATGCATATAGGTCAACGAGAATGACAAGAACAGCAACGCTAGCTGCTGCCGTCAAGCACTGGGGGTACCTGTCACTCAGGCCTTGTGAGGAGAAACACAAGTTTGAAGGGGCTGTAGAAGGAGGACTTTTTAAAAAAATGTCAAGTATTGTCCTGGAGGCCTTATAGTTTTCCTTATTGGTGTTATTTCTTCAAGTGTCTTGGTTTGATCTTGATCTTTATGCAAAATTTAAAATGAATTTATCTTCAGAACCTGCAACGATACTCATGTTTATCATTTATTATCTCATTTGAGCCCTGCAATAACCCCAGAAGATAAGCAAATCTGATGATGTCCATTTGTCAGATGGAGAAACTGAGATCTGGAGGGGCTAAAGATATTTAGATCTGATCTTTCCTAAGATCAGATTGCAGAGTTGGAACAGTGTCCAGTCTCTGGACTCAGAATTGTAGTATTTAAGAGCTGGGAAGGACCTTACGAGGTGAGGTGACCCTTGCCTGTGGTAAAGGGACCCCCAGTGCATCAAGGTCTGCTCTTCCCACTCCAGCAAGCTCCTGCTCCACCCTACCCCCTGTTCCCAAGTCAGAGCCTTTGAAAGGGTTTAGATAGAAAATGGTATGAGGGAGAGGTCTTCTCAGTTCCTGCTACATTTTTTAACAAGAAGGGCAGAAGCCATTTCTTCAAGTGCCCTTGGATGTCTCTGGTGGAGCTGATCTGGACCATCCCCACAGGTCTGGCCTTTCCCAGGGCCTGACCAGTCTGTGGGGCTGACCCTTCAGGCAAGGTGTGCTCCACTGACTTTCCCCAGGTCTTTCTGCCCAGTGGGAAGACCTTGTGGTAGCAGTGAGTGGAGGGCCTGGAAATGAGCATCACTCACCATCTCAATGCTTCTTCCTCTTTCCCCAAGACACATGCCCTGGAACAAGCCTGAGGACTTTGGGTCTCGGCTCTTGTTGTTCCAGGACTCACATTTTCCTGAGACCTTTTTATCCTTGCACACAGATGATACAGATCTTTCTGGCTGATAAAATGGAGTGACATCTGCATGGAGTCACAGTTAAAAGCAGGGGCTTTAGGTCCACATTAGGATTTCACTCCTGGCTGTTGCCATCTTGCACCAAACACATGACGTCTGATTCCTCACCTGCAAAACTGAGATCAGAACACTTAGCAATACTGTGTATATAATGTGCTAAACACTGTCTAGAAAGGTTGGTGCTCTCTTTGCCTCAGTTTCCTTGTCCATCAGAAGAGAAGCTGGACCAGGTGATTGCTAGAGATCCTTTCAGTCTTTCAAATTTTGGTGTTCTTGCCTATGATTTGCACACTTTCTTTTTCCTGGTGCATTCACACATATTCCGGAACAGGCAGGAAACCTGTTAGACTTCCGATTTTGTAATGAGGAGGCTCCACAAAGAGGGAGAGAGCCCCTTTTCCAAGTCACAGGGCTACTGGGAGAGAGTGGGAGCCCAGTTTCTTGCCTCCCGACCTGTGCCGCCTCCCCGGCTGCAGACTGCCCTTCTGCTCCTGCACTCTGCTCCTAGTCTCCCGCCCTGCACTAACCCCCCTTCCTCCCTCTGCCTTGGACTGTGCAGACTTTCGCTATCACATCAGCTTGAAGACCGGGGACATCTCTGGAGCCAGCACAGATTCTCGAGTCTACATCAAGCTCTACGGGGATAAATCTGACACCATTAAGCAAGTTCTTCTTGTCTCTGACAACAACCTCAAAGACTGTTTTGAACGTGGTCGGGTGGATGAGTTCACTCTTGAGACCCTGAACATTGGAACTGTAAGTCTCCTTTGCAAGATCACGTGACACCATCTCACCCGTTCCCCTACATACATCCACACACATGTCCACACAAACACATGTACACACATTCACACACTAATGTACACAGAGGTGAGCCCATTCTGAAGAAAAATAATGTCCACTTGAAGCTTGTTAGTGAGGTGTGTTGTTTTCCAGCTGCGACTTGGAGCAGCTGAGCATATGTGAACAGTGCTTTAGCTCCCAAAGTCTCTTTTGGGTGTATTTTTAGGGGCTTTACTCCCAACATTTTGTTTATCTACATAGCCAGGACCAACGTACCTGAGTCACAAACACTGGAAAAGGGGTCACTGGGTGTAAAGCTACACATCTATGCCGATTGTCGGGTTACAGCAATAGCTACACTAAAGCCAAAACGTTTCATTATTTTAGTTATACTAAGTCCCCATTTGTGTTGTCAGGGCCAGGGCTCAGGCCCTTCAAACCCATTGTACAGACTGGGTCACCAGACTCCTCACATGCCAGGCTAGGTCACCAGACCCCTCACATGGAGGTCTATGCTAGGTAATTGGGAAAGATCCTGGGAGCTGTTGGCAGATGACATGAGCTCAGTCAGCAGCAGCAGCAGCAGTGGTGGCTTCTCGGGGCATCCCAGGGGCAGGGGGCACTGTGGATCAGAGCTGCTAGTCCTTTATACTTAAGTCCATAACCCAGGACACCTGGGTGCACATGTGCAATTACATTAGACAATAACAAAGGGACACCTGGGTGCACGTGCATATTTACATCAAATGCTCGGCAAGATTCTGAACATCTGAGGGGCCCTGACCATTTTCCTATATTTTCTCTACACTGGGTATGGTGAAGGAAAAGAGAAGAAGCAAGGACTGAAAAGAGGAGCTGAAAATACTTCCCACCTGTGCACCAGAATATGCCCAGGAAGCTTGTTTGGGTGCTCTCTTCCGGGCATACCCGAGAGATTCTGCCTTAGGAGATGGGACCCAAGAGTCTCCATCTATCAAGGCTCCAGGTGGCCCTGTCATAACAAGTCTGAGCACTTCACCAAAGATAAACAAAGCTGAACACTAAAGTGGACAGACTTTAATCAGTAATATACTACTGTAATAGGGAAAATATTCCACAGTGAACTGAACTCAATTGATTTGTGCAGAGGTTTACAAGGCATTTTAAAGGGAGAACGAGGGAATAGGATGAGGGTGAACAGGGGCTTCAAAGAGTCAGAGAAGTGAAAAACCACAGAAAGCAGTAAGATGGAGGTGGGTCTGTGTGACACACATCTGGGTTTGCTAACGAGCCCTTATCAGAGCTGGGCTCCTGCCCTTCCTCGGAGGCTGAGAGACAGGGACCCCACCTTCAACTTAGCCTGAACCAACAGTAAAATCATTTAGTAGCCTTGTGTTTTCTCAGGCAGGCACCTTAAGGGGGTTAGGGTCATCCTAGGGATGTGGCCTTGAGCTGTTAGAAACTATGTTATTGTTTCGTCCAAGTCTTTATAGGCCAAGTTTGAGGCTTAGTCAAGAAAGGGCTCAGGAGACTGGCTAGACGTTGGTCAAGGTGAGAATATTTATTGATTTCACCTGGAGAAACATAGATCTAAATCCTGGATTTGAGCACTGAGGATGTCTCCAGAAATATGGGCTGAGATTTGTTACCACCCGCCCTTCTCAGAGTGTGGCTTGGTAGAAACCGAGAAGGTAACGAGTTTGTCTCCAACCTTCTCTTTCCTGCTCCTCCCTCGCTGTGAGCTCTGCCCTATTTCAGGCACTCTGGGCCCTGGAAATCTCTTCTCCCATCAAAACTCACTCTGGGGAGAGATCTCATGTCAACCATTTATACCTTGAAGTTAGAAAGCTTAGATGAAGGTTTTCCTGGGTCACAGTGTGTTTACATTTAAGCTTAATGAATAATGGTAGAGTGAAAATGCAGTTCCCTTTACTAAAGGATTTCTGGCAGCAGCCAACAGATAAATGAGCCATCTGAGGGGAGGAGGTGGCGGTAGGAGAGTGTTTAGGCCCTTCCTTCTGTTTCTGAAAGCCCCTCAACAAGCAGTGTAGCCAAGAGGTTGGGAGCCTGGGCTCTGGCTACCAACTGCCTCTTCTGAGACCCAGCATTTTCACTTACCTCTCTTGTGCAGTTACTTAACTTCTGTTTGCCTCAGTTTTCTCATTCACAACAACAGGGGATCCTAATGAGATTGTTAGTAACAGCCACATGCTCATAGTAAGTACTAAATAAATCTGTTCAACAATTACTCTATGTTAGGTGCAAAGTGTTATAGAAAAGAAAGATAGTCCTGGCCACAGGGAGCTTCCAGTCATACCAGGTAGAAGACACTGGCCTCTGTCTTTACTCTTTCCTGATCCCTCTCCAGTACTTTCATAGTCCCAGCACCACAGAAAGACAATGAAACTCTCCTCTGTCACTTGGCATGCACTCAAATGGCTTTCAGACTTTGTAACTTAGCGGTTTCATTCTGACTGTTCCAGGAGACTGGGCTACATGCACTCAGCTGTGACAGTTTCCATTACCAGCTACAAAGAGGCACTTAGTACTTGGAAGAGAGAGAGCAGGGCTCACATGGACAGTTTTCTATATCTGGCCTTTTGGCACCAGACTCATGCCTAGCATCACCCCTGCAAATCATCACAGAGAGAATCTCAGGGCTGGAAGGGCTCTCAAAGGCCATCTGCTAATTCCATCTGATGTTAAAATGGCCCTGTCTGAGGTATTTCAAAAAAAAACATAAAAGCAATTTGAACACTGAAAAGCTAAATACATGTAAAGATGGTGATATGATCATCTTCACTCTCATTTATGTTACCTATGGGCAAAGATGTTAAAATGTAAAATAGCAAAGCAAGCGGACTCTAGAATAGACTATAGACCATTAGCAAAAGAAAGATGTTCTCAGGTCCAGGAGTGAGAGGAAGAATTGGATACAGAACCACAGTGCCCCGAGAGGTTGTCTGCATATTCTGTCACCTGCAAGATGGCTATGCCAAAGAAGATATAGAGAAATATGTACAATAGTGTATTGTTTAAAACAAAATCAAACCAAAAGCAAATTAAACAAGACCAAATTGATAACACAGTTATCAGAAGGTGAGCATAAACATTTTGATTACAGTCATGTGTTGCTTAATGACAGGGATACATTCTGAGAAATGAGTCGTTAGGTGATTTCGTCATTGTGCGAACATCACAGAGTGTACTTACTTACACAAACTTAGATGTATAGCCTACGACATATCTAGGCTATAGATATGGCCTATGGCTTCTAGGCTACAAACCTGTACATCACGTTATTGCACTGAATACAGCAGGCTATTATAATACAATGGTAAGTATTTGTGTATCTAAACATATCTAAACAGAGAAACATACAGTAAAAATACGGTATTATCATCTTATAGGACCACCACTGTACATACAGTCTGTTGTTAACACAAACGTTATGCGGCCCATGAACCTATTTGCTTTCCCATGCGGCTACAAACTAACATTATTAAGTACGTGCTGGAGCCTTTAAAGTTCACACCACATCTGCTCCCCCACTTCCTTCTCACAACTGTCCCGGGAAATATGCTGGACAAAGATGAGTGAGTGGAGTCTTCAGCCAGAAGTGAGGCCCCAGCTCCCCAGCTGGGTGATGGCAGGGACACTACTGGGACCCAACCTCTCCTGCATAGCCCCCTCTTCTGGGGAACTGGAGACCTGGGTTAAGGGGAGCTGTTTGTGCTGGTGTTCAGGGAGGTAGGGATGCGGGCATGGAGGTTTCTATGAACTGGTTCCTTGCTCACCCTCATCTGGTTTCCTTTCAGATCAACAGGCTGGTGATTGGGCACGACAGCACTGGCATACATGCAGGCTGGTTCCTGGGCAGCGTCCAGATCCGTGTGCCCCGCCAAGGCAAGCAGTACACCTTTCCTGCCAACCGCTGGCTGGACAAGAACCAGGCTGATGGGCGCCTGGAGGTCGAGCTCTATCCCAGCGAGGTCGTGGAGATCCAGAAATGTATGGAGGAGGCCGTGGTGGGGCCATCACATTGTTTCCCTGTGGATGGGGCCATGGGGAAGCAGGAGGGACTATGGGGCCAGTTGGGTCTTATCTCCATATGGTGGTGATGGTGGAACCTGCAGGGAGATTATGGGGGCTTCCAATTGCTTCTGGCACCATGGTTCTAGGAGGTAAAGAAGGGCTCATTTTACAGATGGGGAAACTGAGAACCCAATGGATAAAACATTTTTTTCTGGGATAAGAGCAGCAAATGACTTTATTAGGAAGTGTACATTCTCAACCCTGTGTAGGACAGAAGTTTGAGACATCATCTGTGTCTTCCCCTGGGAAGATTGGCTAAGGAGATAAAACTCTTTATTCATTCATTTATTCAGTAAATATAGATTGAGGGTTTCTCTGTGCCAGCATGGGTCTGGGCTTTATGGAGGCATCCCTGAGCAAAATAGACAAAGCCCTGCTCCCGCAGACCCTACTACGTTCCACCAGGGGAGACAAACAATAAATGTATGATAGTAACAACTAAGAGCTATAAAGAAGATGATTCAGGACAAAGGGTTAGCAGTGGTACAGGTAGAGGACCTTTTTGGCCAGGGCGGTGACATTTCAAAGGAGGTGGAGTTCAAGATGATCTGATACCCATTGCACATGATGTGAGAGACATAGATCGTGCTAGGGGTCAGAGACAGTAGAGGTTACCTGGAGGGTGGGGAAGACAGTGGGGCCAAAACCTGGCTGGAGAACTTTCCTTCCCTCACCTCTGCATTTCTACATCTATTTTGAAAGCAACTGCCTGGGGCTCACTTCCACAGGAAGCTTCTCTGAGAAGGAACCCAATACCAAGTCACCTCTCCCTCCTCCAGAGCTCTTGGTATCTTCCCAATCAACCTAGACGTTCCTTGAGGGTGGTGTCTTATGCACATGCTTTGTAATGGCCCCCACCAGTGTGAGAATCAACTCCTCCCCTCCTTTTATAAATCAAAACTTGATTTCCATCAGAGTAATACAGGTACTAGTCAAGAAGATAAAGATTAAAAAACAATAGTTCCCTTACCTACCTCTTCCCCTTGACCCATCCTCTTCTTCAGAGGTAACACCTTTAATTACTTTTGATTTTTCCTCTGAAATTTAGCTCCATATTTTTTAAATAACATGCTTATCAATTTTTTTATTTTGTCAGTCTTAGACATAATCTATTTTTTTCCTACTTTGGAAGAGAAGGCTTTAGCTCTTTTCACATGAATGGACACCTGCATGGGCTTGTGTGTGCTTGTGTGTACACACACACACATGCACACACACACATGTACTTTCCCTCCTTCCAGCCTTCAGTATAATTAAACCAATATTCAATTTTTACATTATTATGACTATGTAAATTTTATTCACTGCTGAGTCACCTGCTGTATGATGATTGAATTTCATTTTCTATACAAATTTTGGGGTTTTTTTCTAGAGTTAATAATAATCTCACTTTTTCATTTGTATAGTTATGTCTATACCCATCGCTGTCTGTTAGTCTGCTAGTGCTGCCATAAGAAAATAGCTCCCTGGCTTGCAGATGGCTGCCTTTCACTGCGTTCTCACATGGTATCTTCTCATTGTGTGCACATCACTGGTGTCTCTCTGTGTCCAAGTTTCCTTTTCTTTTGAGGGCACCAGTCAGATTGGATTAGGGCCCACTATAAGGGTCTTATTTAAATGTAATCATCTCTTTAAAGGCCTTGTCTCCAAATATATTTATATTCTGAGCTACTGGGTGTTAGTGCTTCAAGATAGAATTTGGGGGTGGAGAGGACACAATTCAGCTCATAACACTGTCTTACCTCCACATCCCTAGTAGAACTAAAATTCTTTTCATATGTTCAAACCCAACAGGAATTCTGGTGGTTTCCTCCCTACCTTCCCCTTCCCCCTCAAGCATTCTTTTTGGAGCCTTCCATTGTCCTGCTTGCTAGGCTGCCATGCAGCTGTCTTTTGGGGACTCCCTTTTTACCATCTTTTTGGAAATCTTTCTTTTATCTCATGGGTTGCATCTGATGTTTCCTGGATTCCATGTCTTCCTCTTCTTTGGTTATTCCCTCATTTTAGTAGAGCACATTCTTCACTAATAGCTTTCTGAGCAAAAGTGCATAAAAGATAAATGCCAAGACCTTACATGTCTGCAAGTGTCTTTAGTCAACTCACAATTTTTAATGGCTTAACTCGTTACAGAATCCTGATTTAGAACTTATTTTCCTTTAGAGTTGTAAGAGTATTGTTCTACCATCTTCTACTAGCTTGCAGTGTTGCAGTTTAAAAGTCAGATGTTTCTGCTATCCAACTCTGATTTTTTTCTCTTTAAAAGCTTTAAGACTCTGTTTTCATCCCTGACATTCGGAAATTTCATAATGCTCTCGCTGCTTTTTGTAATTTTACTTTTATTTATTGCTCTGGAACTAATGGGCTCTTTCAATCTGGAAGCTTTTTTTTTTTAGTTCTGGAACTTTTGGGGGGGGTATTATTTCTCTGACAATTTCTAACTCTATATTTCCTTTGTTTTCTCTAGAACTAAACTCTTAATTAGATATTGGACTTCCTCTGATTTTCTTACCCTTTTTCTGTTCTTGGGGAATTTCCTTTTTGTTTTTTGTAGCTGTCCTTGACATTATCCTTTCTGTTGAATATTTTATTTCAGATCACCATATTTTAATTTCTAGGAACTAGTTCTTATTCTTTGAATGCTCATCATTATCTTTTAAAATTTTGTATAATCCTGACCACCTGTTGGCCTGAGAACTGAGGGAGGTGAGGAAGTCGAGGTTCCTCTCCATTCAGAATGCCAGCTTTCATGAATCCCCCTGTTGTCCATTCCCCATCCCACCCTCACTCTTAACTGAGCCTAGTATCCCTAGTCTAACCTCTTCAGGCTCTCAGCTAGTCTTCTTATTTTCAGACCCCAACTTCTCATTACCGTAAATGAAAGATCATCTTATTGAAAGTAACAGTCTTTACTCAAAAAAAAAAACCTGAGAGGGCAAGTCTTGTCACAATCACATTGAAAAAATATGGTCCCCCAGTTCTGGAAGATGTTTTGCTCTCCATTGGGAAGTGCCCTCTGCAGTGCATACATGTAACACATTTACACCTTCTAACATCTTGATGAAGTATTACTTCAAAATATAAACAACTCTCTGAGTGTAAAGTATATGTTGATATCACCTGAAAGGTGCCTATATTTAAGTGAACACTATAGTTCAAACTCTTTGTCCTTTACCGAAAATAAGGAAGAGAAACAAATACACAGCATTTGCTTCTTTCTGCCAAATGGTATCTGCTCAGGGTAGTGTCTTAGGCTGTTCTGTGATGCCATAACAGAATACCATAGACTGGGTAATTTACACTGAACAGAAATTTATTGGCTCACAGTTCTGGAGGCTGGGAAGTCTAACATCAAGGTGCCAGCATCTGGCAAAGACCTTCTGGCTGCGTTATAACATGGTGGAAGGTGAGAGGGCAAGAGAGCAAGAGGGGGCCGAACTCGCTCTTTTATAACAACACCAGTCCCTCCCATGGAGATGAAACACGCATGGCCTAACTCCTCTTAAAGGTACCACCTCCTAATACTGTTACAATGGCAATTAAATTTCAACATGGGTTTGGATGGGGCAAACATTCAAACTATAGCAGGTGAACACACAGCAGGGAGCTCCAGCTGGTATATTGACTTCTCCTCATTCCTGGTACCCAAGGACACACACAGTGCAGTGGGTGACTGGGCACTGGAGTCTGATTGGTTAAGTATGCCATTTCTACTACCTATTCAATTCCTCTAAGCCTCAGTTTGTCCACCTGCAAAATGGGAATGAACGTACTTGTTGATGGTGTTGAGGAGACAATTAGATAATGCCTGTGAAGCACCAGGCACATAGAACAGAGGAACGTTTGCTTTGTTATTATCATTGTTACTATCACTAAATGTTCCATTTCTCCTACATGTGCATCCAGTGGTCCACTATGAGGTTGAGGTTTGGACGGGGGATGTGGGTGGTGCTGGCACCACTTCCCGAGTCTACATGCAAATCTATGGTGAGGAAGGCAAGACTGAAGTTCTCTTCCTCTCCAGCCGCTCCAAAGTTTTTGATCGGGCATCCAGGGACACATTCCAGGTGTGTGGGGTAAGGCCACGGGTGTCAACAGAGGGCCCAGTGGATGCCAGGAGGGTCTCCTGGATGTTCTTAGTTCTTCAGCCAACACTTCCTCAAGAATGGGGTGCCTCCCTCCTGCTGGGTGGAAAATGCTTCCTCTCTCCCGACCCAAGTTTTTGGCCTGAAAGTGAAAAGTTTGGAGCAGATCAGTAGTTCTCAGCCCCAGCCTCATGTTAGAATCACCCGGGGAGCTTAAGAAAAGAGTGCCTCCTGGTCCACACCCGAGACCGGTCAAATCAGAATCTAGGGGTGGGATGTGTCTCCTGTGCATGCTTTTAAAAGCTCTACCAGTGATACTAACATGCTGCTGATTCTGAGAACTGCTAGAGTGGTTGATTCTAATTTAGCCAAAGGTGGCACTAGGGCCCAGGTCCTTCCACCCAATCCCAGCCCTTCGGCCTCTGATTCTACTGTTCTCTCAGGCCTGATGACAGGGCATTGGGCAGGACACTGCTTCTCAGGAAGGAGAGTGGGAGACTTTGGAGTTCCATGGCGGCATTCTGAGTGCTCCAGGCCTCCTCTCTTCCCTTTGCAAGTCTTTGAATAGAAGGAAAAAAGAGATGAGAATGTGAGCATGTTGTTGGCGGGAGAGGAGAATGCAAGAGTAGTGCCACTTGGAGGACACATGGGTGTTTTACGTTGGACACAAGTGTGTGTGCATGTATGTGCATGTGTGTGCATGTGGGTGTGTCCATCTGCAGATATGTGTATGCAGGGAGCATGGTCATGCTGGATGCTCTAGGAGTGTTTGGGTGCTGTGAGCATCGTGGCCTCTGGTGAAGATCCTTACCCAGTGCCCACTGGAGAAGGTCCTGGCTGAATAGGACCTGGGCCAGGGTCACAGGTGTCTGGAACATTAGAGCTAGAGTGGACCTCATTGAGTCAAATGACCTCTTAGACTGCTGAGGAGGCAGAGGCCCTTGTATTGTATCTCTCTGAGCCTCAGCTTCTTCGTCAGTTAAAACCCAGCTTATATCTGCCTGGCCAGCTTCATAGTTGCTGAAATGACCAAAAGAATCAATGTCAGGGAACGCACTTGGAAAATTGTGGCCAGTTATGAGGATGTAACTAAGTAAAGCATCTTCTGAAGGTGGAGGCGGCAAGCAGGCCCCCTTGGAGGGGTTGGCTGCAGGGGTGCCATGGCCTGGGAAATGCTGGAGAGGTGAGCTAACGTGCTGAAGAAGTGACTTACCAGGTCTGGCATCCATCCCCTAAGTAGCTGAGAAGGATAAATTCTGCTTTCCCCAGCAGCTCTGGGCTCCATCTTCGCTGGTAGTTTTCCTGCAAGGGTAGATTGGCTGCAATGTGGATTCATAAATAAGAGGTCAGAAGACCTGAGTTCTCATCTAGGTCTGGACTGGAATTGTGGGACATTGAGTAACTCATGGGACAGCCCTGGGCCTCAGTTTCCCCTGGCACTCATGTGGAAGAACCAGTGGGACAGGGCTTTGAGAAGTGTCAAACACCCAGATAGGGGCTCATCCACATTGAGGAGCCTACGAGGAGCCTGACTAGCAAGGATCCCACACAAGCCGTTCCCTGAGTTCTGCAGGGGCCAGATCTTACCTCAGTGTGGGTCCTTCCTCAGAGCGTGGGGCTCAGGACAGAATGGGTGAGGAAGCCATCAGCACTGCCCTTGGAGCCAGTTGCCTACTGTACCCAGTGGGGGAGAGGCACAAAATGATGGTTCTTGCCCTTAAGAAACTCATGGCTGAGTGGGCAGACACCAGCTCGTGAGGGCAAAGAGGGCATCCAGGCCAGGCCAGAACCAGAGCTAAGCTCTGAGCCCCCTCTGAGCTCTTGGGGAAGGGGACAGGCAGGCAGGCTGAGACCAGGTGCCTGGGAGGGGCCTGGGACCTCTAGGGGCATGGGTGAGATTTTGTTTTTGAAAAATAACACATTTTTTTCTTATTACTAAAGTTATATATGTTTAATATTGAAAAATTTTGGAAAGAACACAGAAGAACAGAGCAGAGTAAAAAAAAAAAAAAAAGGTAGTGAAACACAGGAATCTGAATGAATAAGTTTTAGTTAGGGGTAGAGGAGGGAATAAAGCCAGGCCACGTGAGGGACTGCAGGAGCAAAGATCGGAAAATAGTAATGAGAGTGTGTGTGCATGTGTGTGAGAGTGTGTGCGTGTGTGCGTGTGTATGTGTGTGAGAGCGTGTGTGCGTGTGTGTGCACGTGTGTGTGAGAGTGCATGTGCGTGTGTGTGTGCGCACGCATGCATGTGTGTGTGCACGTGTGTGAGTGTGTGTGTACATGCGTGTGCGCATGCGTGTGTGTGTGAGAGAGTGTGTATGTTTGAGAGAAAGAGAAACAGGGAGATCAGTTTGACCTCTGTGGAGTTAGAAGGAAATAAGTTTGGGTGGAGGCTGGGGCCAGGCCAGCGGAACCAGTCTGGGTGTGATCAGAGAGAGGGAGCAGGTGGAGGCTTCTGAGCACAGACACCCCGAGCCCCTCCACCCTGTAGCTCAGCACACAGGTCCTGTGCCCAGCTGTGCAGGGGAGGCAGGGAGGATGCCAGGGGCCAGCCCAGCCACTGCCCTGCACTTTGCACAGCTGGAGGCAGCGGATGTGGGTGAGATCTACAAGATCCGGCTCGGGCACACGGGTGAGGGCTTCGGGCCCAGCTGGTTCGTGGACACAGTGTGGCTGCGGCACCTGGTGGTGCGGGAGGTGGACCTCACGCCCGAGGAGGAGGCCCGGAAGAAGAAAGAGAAGGACAAGCTGCGGCAGCTGCTCAAGAAGGAGCGGCTGAAGGCCAAGCTACAGAGGAAGAAGAAGAGGAAGAAAGGCAGCGATGAGGAGGATGAGGGGGACGAGGAGGACGAGTCTTCATCAGAGGAGGAGGAGGAGGAGACCGAGGAGGAGGAGGAACAGGAGGAGTTTGGGCCAGGGATGCAGGAGGTGATTGAGCAGTACAAGTTCGATGCCCACCGCTGGCTGGCCCGGGGCAAGGAAGACAATGAACTTGTCGTGGAGCTGGTGCCGGCTGGCCGGCCGGGTCCTGAGTGTAAGCCTGACGAGGGGTCAGACAGTTTCCTTAAGGGGGGCCCAATAGGGACAGAGGTGCTTAGATTTCCCTGCTATGGAGGCCAAATTGGTGCCGAATAGGTGGGAACCCACCATGGTTTCCAAATAGCTCTCCTGGCCTCCCTCTGAAATGCCACCATTGACGGTTCTGTTTGGGGTTAAGCACTGGCCTTGTCCTGAGGCTCTTAGGAGGAAACAATGAGTTTGGGAGCAGCCTTGATATAACTCGATAAAACTAAGCGTGGGGACATACAGTAGGAAGGTTGCTGAGGCCAAATGTTGCCTCTTGTCTCCATGGTGAAGGGAAGTCTTGGGTTAGGAGGAGGGGCGGTTTCAGTACCTGGTTAGTGCAGATGTATCCATAGATCCTTCCTGCTCCCAGGAGCTGCTGCATCTGAGAGGCTGTGCCTCAGGCCCACCCTGTGGCCCTGGTGTCCTCAAGCCTGCATCTTTCTGTGTCTCCAGCCAACACCTATGAGGTCCAGGTGATCACAGGGAATGTGCCCAAGGCCGGCACTGATGCCAACGTCTACCTGACCATCTACGGCGAGGAGTATGGGGACACAGGCGAGCGGCCCCTGAAGAAGTCAGACAAGTCCAACAAGTTTGAGCAGGGGCAGGTAGAGTGAGGGTCTCTGGCCCCTGGGCAGGTGGTTGGGACTCAGATATGGGGGGTGGTGCCCTCTGGTGATTCCCACGGCGGCTCCCCCCAGCACAGTGCCTGCTGTATGCCCAGCAGTGTGCTTTGGTGACTCTAACCAGGCTTTTTGGCAGCACCACCTCTGTAAACACTGGTGCTTTGTGGTGGGTGGTGAGAAAAGTACAGGTGGAGCTCCAGCTCCACGGAGACTGCAGGGTAGCTGACTCACAGGAACAAGCAGAGAAAAGTGCCAGGTAGTAGATGCTCAGGCGCTGAGCAGATGGAAGTTCAAGGTGGAAGTGCTCACTGTAGGATGGCGCCTGGGGAAATCTTGGTGGGAAGGAGCAAAAAACTGGGCTGTGGCAGATTAGTACGGTGTAGATGTGTAAAGATGACCATGAAAGATGTTCTCAGAAGACGGGACCACATGAGCAAATATGCAGAAGTGGAAATGTGGAAGGCCGGTCTGAGGACAGCGAGTCTTCCAGCTGAGCTGTGATTAGTGCTGAGCCATAGTGGATAAGCTTGGATAAGACCAATGCAGCATGGGGGTGGGAAGGGCACAAGAGGCTTGAAAGTCAGGCTTGAAGCCTAGACTGTGTCCTGAGGTAGTGGGAGCCATGAATGAAATGTGCCTCCCTCTTCCAGGTGTAGTGGGAAAGCATGAGAAATAAGGCGTCATCTTCGTCCTACAAGATTTTACTATATCCCCTCACTAGAAGATCATCCCCTATCTCATCCTTCCCATTCCTGCCCCCATCCCAAAGCCAGGTTCTCTCATCAACACAAAGAAAGAAAAAAATAAGCCAAATCCATCAGAATACTTCCAGGCTCATTGCTTGATTTACTTGTATTTCAGAGGCCTTTACTTTTTCTTTCAACACTCCCTCCCATGACTTGTGGATCAGGACTTATTTCTTCCTTTCTTTAAAAATTATAACAACCATCATCCTGGATAGGAAAAAAAAAATAGTAACCAGTACAACTGGTGAAATCTGAATATGGACTATACATTAGAGACTAGTGTTGTGTTGACGTTAAGTTTCCTGAATTTGTTCATTGTGTTGTGGTTACATGAGAATGTCCTTGTTCTTAGGAAATCCATGTTGAAGTACTTCAGGGCGAAGGATTATGGTATCTCCTACTTATTTTCAAATGCTTCAAAAAAAAATAGAGAAAGTAATAGAGAAAAGAGAGAGAATGACAAACAAATGTTGTAAATCACTGCGGAATTTAAGTAAAAGTGAACAAAATTTCATTGTACTATTTCTGCAAGTTTTTTGTGGATTTGAAATCTTTTTCAAAATAAAGAGTTAAAAAAGTTATAGCCAAGAAGACCCCAGTCACTTATCAAGTTTAGTCTCGCCTGCTTCCCGCAGTGCACATAGTGGCTCACAGACATTTGTGTAGCTCACATTCCATCTTCCCCCTGCATGGTAGGCAGGTCCAAGTCTTCCATTTCTGTCCATCACTTTGGATTTGCACAGGACTGGTTCATAGCAGATGCTTAAGAAAGACTTGTGGTTGCAGGATATTATGCGCACGTGTGCACACACAAGCACAGGGTCTCAGTGCACACTCCCTCCCACCCCCGCCCCACATGCATCACAAATGCAGGCTTCCAACCAACCTGTGCTTCCGTCTCACAGTCACCTTCTCCCTTCCTCTCCCCCTACCTTCCTGAGCACAATGACAGTAAGAAGATCCTCTGGCAGGGGCAAGTTAGAAAAAAAAAACACTAGTGCAGACCAAACACCAGACTAACGAGCTGCAGTTTCCATCGTCCCCACCCCTGGATGCTTTGGGTCTTATGCTCAGCCTCTGGTTGCTCAGGTCCTTGGGAGGGTGGAGCTGATGGCCTGGTGGGGAGACAGTGGGTCTCACTCCTCTGAGTCCTGCCCTGGCCCTTTCCAGACAGACACCTTCACCGTCTATGCCATTGACCTGGGGCCCCTGACCAAGATTCGGATTCGCCACGATAACTCAGGCAACAGACCAGGCTGGTTCCTGGACAGAATAGACATCACTGACATGAACAACGAGATCACGTGAGTGGGGCTGGGGGAGAGGGAGGTCAGGGGGCCTGAGTTGAGGAAGCACCATGCCTGCCATGAAGACAGTCCTGGAAAGAGAACTGAGGGTGGGTTGGCTGTGATGTCTGAGGGTGAGGATGGGTTGTCCATGACATCTGAGGGGAGGGTGGGCTAGGTGATGTGTGAGGATGAGGGTGGGCTGGCTGTATTGCCTGTCATGGCCACCAGGGTCGGTTTGGCCCATGTAGCAGACATTCCCCTTCCCTCTCACTGGGCAGTCCCCAGAGCCTCTTGCCCTGTCAGGTGACAGTCTGGTAGACCATCCAATCCAGCAGCTCTTGAGGTCCATCAATTCAGAGAGGTCAGATTTTCAATCCCTGTCAGACCTTCATTGGCCCCATCTCCATGCTTAGCTTGCCCGTAAGTCTCTCCACGAATAAAGCAACTCCCAGGGCACTATGCTAATGTTCTAGACTAGGGATCAGCAAATATTTTCCGTAAAGTCTGGACAGTAAATATTTGAGTCCTTGCAGACCATTTGTTCTCTGTAGCCACAACTCTGGTTGGTGTAGCACAAAAGCAGCCGTGGATAATACCTAAATGATTGGGCATGGCTGTGTTCCAACAAAACTTTACTTATGGACACTGAAATTGGAATTGTATGTAAGTTTCTCATATCACAAAACATCTTTCTTTAGATTTTTTTTCTACCATTTAAAAATCTACAACCTCTGAAAAGTTAAAAAAAAAAAAAGAAAGAAAGAAAAAAGAAAGGCAGGGGCCGGCCCGGTGGCGCACTGCTACAGTGCGCCGCTTGGGAGTGTGGCATCGCTCCCGCCGAGGGTTTGGATCCCACATACAGACCGGTTCCCGCTCACTGGCTGAGCACGGGGCGGGCGCAGCACCGAGGGTTGTGATCCCGTTGCCGGTCCCGGTCCGGTACGGGCGCGACACTGAGGGTTGCGGTCCGTTGCCAGACACGAAAAAAGACAAAAAGGAAAAAAAAAAAGAAAGAAAGAAAAAAGAAAGGCAGGGGCCGGCCCGGTGGCGCACTGCTACAGTGCGCCGCTTGGGAGTGTGGCATCGCTCCCGCCGAGGGTTTGGATCCCACATACAGACCGGTTCCCGCTCACTGGCTGAGCACGGGGCGGGCGCAGCACCGAGGGTTGTGATCCCGTTGCCGGTCCCGGTCCGGTACGGGCGCGACACTGAGGGTTGCGGTCCGTTGCCAGACACGAAAAAAGACAAAAAGGAAAAAAAAAAAGCAAAAAGAAAGGCAGACAGTATGTGAGAAGGCCCTAAGTGCCTTGGGAGAGGGCCTGGCATGTTCCAGAACAGCAAAGAGGCCAGTGTGGCTAGAGTGGAGAGAAGGGGAGAGTGGCAGATGGTGAGGCCAGAGGGGAAATGGAGCAGCTCATGGAGGGCATTGTAGGCCATCCTAAGGACTCTGTATGCCAAGGGAAGCCACTGGAGGACTCTGAGCAGAGGAATGTGAGAGACTGAACATACGAATGGACAATGGCTGGACTATATGTAAAATAGAGCTCTGTCCCACAACCTGTGAGCAACCCGCCCAGGAAACCAATCCCTCAGCTGCAGTAAATAGCCTGGAAGCCAGCCTACTCAGTCAGACTTGTAGAAGCCAGAAAGCTACCTGTACTTACCATCCAGGAAGCAAAACATTAACTTTTGTAACAATCACCCCAAATGGCTGGACTTGATTAATAGCTGACAGCTCCCCTAATTTTTGTCCTCACTTCCAACGTACAACCAACCAGAGAAAGCCCAATATGCAATTCCAGCTGATCACTAGGGTACGCCTCCTAAATATCCCCCCTCCAGCTTCCCCATGCCAGTAGCTTCCAGTCAGTGCACACCTGAAGCCTTCCCTTCTTCCCACTACTAGGCATTCCCACCCCTCTGTCTGCCTCTGAGTCTCTGCCAAAACACAAGTCATGGTGGCTGACTCCTTTGCCATAGCAAACTCTAAATAAATAGCCTTTGCATTTTTAAATAAGTGAATGAATGTGTGAATAAATAAATAGGAAAAATGTGCAACCCATGCTTAGCTTGTGAGATGTGCATAAGCAGGTGGTGAGCCCAATTTGGCCTGAAGGCCATAGTTTGCTGGCCTTACTGAAGACTCACAGCCTCCACGTGAGCTAGGCTGGGAAGAGGGTGTTAAGTCTTCCCAAGGGAGAAGAAACCATGCCCCAGGGAAGTGGAGCCACAGCCTCAGAGCCAGGACCAGAACTCTAAACCATCCAGGTTGAATCTAGTGTGTTGTCACTATTAGGCCACATTACCTCTTGGGTGAAAGAAGCCAAGGGGGCAATACAGATGAAAGAAGCCCGTCTACATGCAGAGCAGTGGGGGAGGGAAGAAAGCACACAATATCCCCAGTAGGCTTGGGGCCACTTAGGTCTGTTGATACCTGGAATTTAGTGGGCACCCAATACATAAATATTTGTTAAATTAAGTCAATTTCTTGGCCTGCAGCTTGGTGTGTCAGCCTGGTGTCTCTTGGAGCCTGCCCTCTTGATGGGCTGCTCTCTGTGCCCTCCCTGCCTTACCAGCCCAAGGGAACTCTGAGACACAGCTCACAGATGGCCCAATGTCATGATTTTCCATGAAGCTATTGTGACAGCCCATAATGGCTGTGGGACAACCCTATGGCTGGAAATCGGGGTCCTGACCTGGGGTCGGTCCTCTACGAGAAACTCACCAGGTCAACCTGGACAAGTCATTCCATCTTTATGGATTTTTGTTTCCTCTTCTGATAAGTGGGCTTAATGATGCCAGCCCAGCTTACTTCCCAAGACGTTCTGAAAATCTAATGCATTTAAGCTTGAGAGGATAAAGTGCTGCAGAAACATAAGGGTAAGGACAAACAGTGAACATCCCAGCTTCCCCATACAGCCCAGTCAGGGTTCATTATTTTGTTCCATTGATTTGGCATTTGTGGGCCAGCCCAACAATTTAAAAATTACTGTAGCTTTAGAATCTATTTTAATATCTGTCAATACTTGTCCTCTTCCTCTCTTCTTTAAAATACCTATTCTTGCCTTTTTTGAATCAACACATTAAGTGGAATTTTGATTGTTATGCCATTAGAATATTAAGTGCTACCCCCAGGAACACTTTTCCATTTATCCAGCTGTTCTTTTATGTATCCTAGTGTTGGTTTACAATTTTCCACGCATAACTGCTGCACGTGCTTGCTAAGTTTATGCCCAGGTCTATTACATTTGTATCACTCTTGCGAATGGCATCTTCGCATTAGTCTTCTCTGTTTTTCCTTCCTTCCTCTACTCATCCCTTCCCTCATCTCTTCCTCTTCCTTCGTCATCCTTTTCTGCCAGTGTTGTAGTTTACATTTCTCTGTTTCCTTTGCTATCGAAGCAGCCCTCAGTAAGTGGTCTGGGGTGAGCCAGTTTCAACAATCTTCAAGTCAAGAGCAACTCTGAGCAAAGCCTACTTTGGCAGACAGACATAAGATTACAGAAGTTCAGAAGAAACAGAATCAGAAGAGTGAACCTCCCCTCTCTTTGGGGGACACACCACCTTCCCAACAGTGCCTAGGGCTTTCCCCAGACTCTCCATGACCTTTATAGCTCAGGATTGAGGACTTTGTAGCCTAAAGGACTGGAGAACACTGACGTCATCCCTTGGCTGCCCCAGACCAAGTCAACATCCTCCATGTAAATGGGGCATCCTGGACTTCTCAGAACCTATTGCTCCTCCTTCAGAGGAACATGAGTCTGACCCCATCTCCCCATCTTCACCTCCCAGCACCCTAGTCAAAGCCTCCTGACCAGTCCCCCAGCTTCACCCAGGATCTCATATTGTCTACAGCAGCCTAGTGACCAGGATCCTGTCTCTCCTCCACTGGAAAACCTCCAGAAGCTCCCATTCACTCAGTAAGAGCCAAAGCCCTTCCGGTGGCCTGCTTGACCCTGCAGAGCTTGCCGCACACTCCCTCCTTATCTATCCTGGTCCCCCCTTGCTCACTTCTTGCTGTTCCTTGAACGCAGCAGACACGGTCCCACCTTGGGGCCTTTGCATGTGCTGCCCTTGCTCCCTGCACTCCTTCCCCCAGTGGCTCACTCTCATATTTCCTTTAGGCAGATCTCTGCTCAAATGTCACCTTGTCAGGTGACAGGTGAGACCTAGCATACCCCCCATTTCTTTTTCTCTGTTTATTTTTCTCTGTATCACTCATTACCTGACCTACAATAACCTGGTGACAGAATTTAGTCATTGTTCATCCCCACAATAGAATGTAAGTTGTGTGTAGTTAATAATCTCATTTGTTTTGTTTACAGCTATGTCCTCCCGAGTACCTAGAAGACTGCCTGGTACAAAATAGGCATGCCAGAAATACTTATTAAGTCAATGAATGAATAAAAACAAAGCTTGGTGTATGGATTGATTCATCAACTTGACAAACACATTCCATGCCAAGTGCTGGGGGTTAAATATCTGGCTCAGATATACCTCTGCCTTTGAAGAGTCGAAAACTTTGATGGTTTAGGAAACAGATGATGTAGGTTCAAGTCCTTTTGGTACCAAACAGAAGTTCCAGGTTCTTAGTCAAACCATGAAGAAAAATCTTTCACGGGACTGAATGGAGTCCATGTCATGGGAAACACCATTTAGTGAAAGAAAAGGAAGGGGACAGACAGACAGACAGAACATTCAAACAACACAACTTTATTGTAAAGTGAAAGTATGCACAGAAGCGTGTATGGACAAACCCACAAGTGAAGAACACTTCCACATTCTCAGGGGGAAGGTTTATACTAGTGAAAGAAAAGGAAGGGGACAGACAGACAGACAGAACATTCAAACAACACAACTTTATTATAAAGTGAAAGTATGCACAGAAGCGTGTATGGACAACCCCACAAGTGAAGAACACTTCCAGATTCTCAGGGGGAAGGTTTATACGCTGTTCTGGGTCAGGGTATTTTTCCGTCCTAACTAAGGGAAGGAATATTTGGCCTTGGGGGAGG